TAAAGAAACCCGTCATCTGCCTGTCCTCAGCCCACCCTACACTGTTGCCCTCTTCACCCTCTCAACTGTAGGCTGATCTCTAACCAGGTGAACACACTCCATCGCAACCTGGTCCAGACCAGCCCTCCCTCTACCTCAAAGGTGGGCACTTATGCTGTTCCTTGTGCCTCCTATAATAAGCAATACTTTGGTGAGACAAGCTCGTTTCACTAAGTGCCTGTCTCAACATAAATACGCTGTTGCCAGGGGACATAACAACAATGCCTTATTTTGCCATCAGTTGGACACAGGCCATCAGATGGATTGGTCAGTGGTGCAGATTGTCTAGTCGAGTCCTCCTTCATCAAGCTGCTGCCTAATTTCATCGTGAACTGCGGCTTTTCTCCTGCCGATAGCCTCCTCGCTTTCCACATCCTCTGCCTTCTTCCTTACACCAGCCACCCTGTGCACAGTCCACCTGATCCTGACCTCTTGACCTCACCTACCCCCTGTTACTATGTTGCTTATCCTCTCTTTTTTTACCCACTCCTCTCCCTTTCCTCTTCAGACCTGAAGATGGAATCCAGGTGGATTTTTAAACTTTTCATTATCAATGAATATAGTTTGTACCAGTGCTTACTATGTTATTCCTTCCCTCACAAAACAAACAACACATTTTTCACACTGCAGTTATAAATATTGCATATATCTCAAGGTCACGCAATCACAACCCCCCACATCATTTCATGAACATGTGCACTCAGACATTACCTTGGAGGTTCGTTTGCCACTCACATCCATCACCACTGATCAGTGATGCCTGCCAAGATGCCATCGTCACCAGTCACATCATTAGTCACCATATCCATTTTCTCTTTCACTTCCAGCTCATAATCAAGGGCAATGAGCCTAGGCCAGGCTTTGTACTGGATTCCTCTATTCTCCATAAATACTGTGAGACTGCATCAATGTTGTTATTCATTCCATCATCCCATTCATATGTAATCAATATATCAATTCATAGCCCTAACATTAGGGCTGACGGCGGGCATGACCAAGCCCCGAATGAGGCTAGCGACCCAAGCTGTCACAGGATTAATGGAACCAACGCCTCGCGTGCTTAAGAATACATCGGGTGAGGCCAAGCTGAAGGGTAACTAAAAGGAACCGACGCCTCACGTGCTTAAGAATACATCGCGTGAAACCAAGCTGAAGGGTAACTGACCTATAGGATTGATGATTGCAAATTCATCACTCAGCTTGACATTTTTTAATTGTTCACTAAAGTAGGATATCCCTGTTTTTATTATATATTTTTTTAACTAGGCATTCATCTGTGAAATCGAAAGTTTATACACAGTGCCACTAAATTGCTTGTTCCATACAAGCTGTCTCTCTATGATAAACTCGTATCTAAACGAAGTGAAACTGATTCTGTTTGATGCTATTTTGTGCGAGGACGACCTCAAGTTTTACATAGACAAAACCAGCAGAGCTTTGAAAAAAAGTAAATAAGCAGGTAATGTTACACTTCGGTACACTAGAGAATGAAATGCTTGTTTGTTCATTTCCACAATGAAGGCCATCAGCTTAACTGAAAAGACACTAATGAATTCATAAGTCGGCAGAAAATGACAGAAGCTTTGTTGATTAGGAAATTTCAACTAAATTGCTGGTTAATGGGCTAGGGTGGCCTTAAATCATCATTATTAAGCAAAGGCTTCCCTAGACTCTCTAACCTTGACCCCCTTTCTGCGCCCTGGTTCAGCTCTTGTTCTTGTCTACCACTATATAATTTTGTCAAAACTATTTTGTATAACTATTTCGATTATCTGTTCGTCTGATGACGAACTAGAGTTCGAAACATTCCATTCAATTTTAGGTCTTATTGTGATTGTTTCCTTTATATAGTGATCTATCTATTCATATATTTTTTTTCAAACAATTTCCTTTTATACATGCACAAACATACATACATTTATAAGTATTATATTTATAAGTACATCAATGAATGCTGTAAATTATAGACCCAATCACGAACTGACAGTCTTTACCTTTCCACCTTTTCCCTCTATTTGGAGAATGTAATCTAATTTGTTGTTTATTAGTTTTGAAGCTTGTGATGCACTGAGCGATAAAAGTTGCTGAAAACAGTCTTCGACTCAGAAAAGTGAAAGTAAAGCAGTTTCATGAAAAAAGGGGCAAACATAATATGACAATCAGTTGCAATTGATAAATAATAGCATTGTGTTGTACATAGAACACGTTTGTAGATAACTAGTTTACCAACAGTTAATAAGTTTACAAAAGTAGACATTAGTGTAAATGGTACTCATTGTGTACACTGATATTTTATCGGCTTATCAGAAAAAATACTAAACACTGAGAAACGGCCATCATGCCGCAGAGAATCCTCAGCTGCAGAAGTGCCATCCTTGTGGCTTACTTGGGCCTCTTGCTGTATCACGAGTTCCTTCGCGGTTCGAGCACGGAGCCTCAAGTACAGGTGGAGGCCCAGCAGGACGCCTTTGCCAACGGCCCAGTCCATGTCCCTAGCCTGGTCCTTCCGGAAGCCACGGAGATCCTGGGCGGCCTGGGGGAGAGCGAGCCAGGGGGCGTGGCGCTAACGACGAGCGGGAGCGCCGAGAAACTGCAGCAGGCCACGCAGGTTCTTCAGAATGTCGGCGAGTGGTTTGGCAACCACGAGGTCATGGCCACGCTGACGGAGGCCAGGCTAGAGAGCATCGAGAAACGGTTGGAGACCTTCTCGCGGATGGTGGACAACTTCTCCAAGGGGCTCGACCTCACGTGGAAGCAGATCGACTTCGTAAACAAGCACTACACGGGGGAAGTGGCCACGAAGCTGGAGACGATGATGTCCTCGGTGCAGTACTTCCACAAGCAGCTGGAGACCCTCAACCTGCAGCAGAGAACCGACATCGACGCCAGCCAGCAAATGGCGTCGAACTTCGTCTCTGTGAACAGCCGACTCGCAAAACTGGAGGAGAAATCGGAGGAAGACAACACGGGCATTCGTCGCGTCCAGTTCGACCTGGAGGAGCACCTGCCGCTGCTGAGATCGATGGTCAAGGAGGAGGTGCAGGCTCACCGCGTGCCCGAAGACCTCGACTCGCGCATGGTGGCCGTGGACGAGGCCACCGTGGCCACCATAAACAGGATGGGCAATCTCGAGGCCAAGGTCGCCGAGTCCGAGAGGCTGCACGCGGAAATCCTCAGCCTCACCGACAGCCTTATCAGGAGAGACAACGAGATCAACAACCTGACAGCGCTGCTGCTGGATCTCGTCAAATCCGTCCACACAACCCAGAGGAATCCAGGGGCACCACCACACCAAGGTTAGTCTTGCGGCAAAATATATTCAGTTCGCAACTCCACTGAACTAGCACGTTGAACTTGTGTAATTATAGATTCAGAAAAATAATTGCACTTTGTCATCAATGCTATAATTTCTATATAATTTTACCGAACAAGAGTCTGCAGTGCCATACTTCCTTATTAATTCAATAGAATGTTTTGTGCAGTTGCCGTTCTGTAAGTACTTTCTAGAAAGTAGGTTTATTTTTAAATGACAGCTATGGTAGAGTATACAAAACTATTATGAAAATTCACCTTTCAAGTACTTTGCATATGAGACGTGAATATCTACAAGAGAAAACACAACTTCTTTGCTGAGATCTTACGGTATGCTTACACTTCACATACCTTGCTCCCTCAGCAGTCAACAACAGCCATAAGGAGCGGAACAGCAGGAGATTTAGTATAATGATTATCATCAACAACTATGCTTCTGTAACAATATTCAAAATTTAAATGACAAAGAAACAACAACAGAATAAACAATTCATTAAATTAGGTAATAACTACGCCACCTCATTAACAGTGTAACAGCTACATTACAATATCGTCACAAGATACGCTTTAACTTTTACACATCTTGCACCATCTCCCACCAACAACAGAGTGTCGCTCCCCTTACCTTCGTGTGGGCCAACTATGTCTCGCCACCACACGGACGCCCACGCCCTGGCTCCACGCCCGCGACGCCTGCCTTGGCTCTGGGGGTCAGCTCGCCCTGCCCTCCAACCTCACCCTCTTCGCACGCTACCTTAGATCCAACAACGGTAAGTGGAAAGATGCTGGTGATGCACTTTTGGAAATTCAACGCGTGCTGAAATACTGATCCTCCCGCGGGAAATTTCGAAGTAAAGGGCTAGGTGTTGGAGAGAAACAAAAAAAAAAAAAAAATGACTGGAATATGGTTAACAGTGTGTGTATATTTCGTTTCAGTTTCGGGCGAGGTGTGGGTGGGCGGGTCCGAATTGATCCGGAGTTTAGATCCCCAGCCGTCCCCGGCCTCGCCCAGAGAGACCGGGGACCAACAAACTACTACCGTCACCTCCAATCCTCAACACGAAGGAACTGAGGACGACTCGGCACTACGAAAAGCTAACCAAGGCGCAAATTCGCCGGTGTCGGGTAAACAAAGCACAGATTCACCAGGCAGTAAGCCCACAGGTCCCGAGCAAGCAGAATCCACGAGGCATGATCAGTGCCTGGCTGTAGTACTGCGCCAAGAAGTCCACGCGGTACTGAGGCTATGCAGGGATCACAACATCGCCGTCTGCCAGCAAAACACTTGAGGTGGTGTGGACGTCGACCAAAGGCTTAAAGTATGTGATATCGTAATAAAACACCATAAATGTATATTACTATCTTATAATGCGATCAACAAAAATGATAATGTTTGCGATATCGTAAAAAAATGTATATATATTGTGTACCCTATAGAAATACGTGATGTTGAAAATTTCGCAACACATAGCCATACAGATAATATTATACACAAAGAAAACGCACATGCCATTGTCCAAATTCTGGCGACAAATACTTTTAGCATGTAATACCTGTATATTTCAAGTGTAACATGATGGTCTCCAGATATTCCACGATAAAAAAGTGGCATATATTTATCACTCACGGACGAAACAAAATAAATAACAGTACATTCGCTTCTGATTTTTTTATTGTCTTCCCTTAGCCTCTCCTAGATTCCAGGAATTAAGGCAGGCGCTCACATATCCAAATTACATATATAACCGCCTACCCTTACCTACTCTCAAGCAAAAAACACATCAGACAACAATCAATCTAAGGGATAGTTACTATCCATCTATCTTACTATCCACTCCTCTCTCTCTCTCTCTCTCACTCCCTCCCTTATCCTCCATACGCCCCATTCGAAACCTCACTCCCACACTTCTTCCTCCCTCAACTCTGTCACTCCCCCCCCCTCCTCCCCTCCCTCTCTCATCACTCCCTATTCTCGAGGCACCAGTCGAAGGCATTTTGGAAGAGCTTGGCCCAGGGCGCGGTGAGTCTTGCCTGCGCCCCTGGCTTGGTGGGCAGAGGGGGCGCTAGGTGAGGCCACTGCCAGGTGACGACACAGCGCTCCGGGTGGGGCATGAGCGCCAGGTGACGTCCGCAAGGGGAGGTCACACCTGCTACGCCACCTGAAATTGTGATTATAACGGTTAGATAAATTATATGATTATAGAAGTGAATTATTGAATCAAAGAAACCAATTAATCATAGATAGTACGCATCAGAGTATATATTTATCACAGACTATGTGATTATACAAGTATAGAACGGAGTAGCTACAATGCAGGAAATTTGTGATGTGGTATAATGATAAGTGAATTATGCAAAACAACAGAGGTTGGTAATGATTTTTATTAAGATTAACATTGCAAATACTGATGGGGCGGCCTAAGCAGTGCCAATTTGCATGGAATATGGAGAATATTAAGTACTGATAACGCCATGTAATCCCACAAAGGAATTAAGACAGCTCACGAATCCTTCCCAACAAAAACTACACGTTTAAAATACCCCTCCCCTAAAAAAAATAACGTCAAAACAAAAAATCAATAAATCCTCAAGAAAAAAATAATAGCAACAAGAACAATAATACTGACAATGACAAGGATTAATAATAATGATTGATGATAATAATAATAATAATGATTGATGATAATAATAATAATAATGATTGATGATAATAATAATAATAATGATTGATGATAATAATAATAATAATGATTGATGATAATAATAATAATAATGATTGATGATGATAATAATAATAATGATTGATGATAATAATAATAATAATGATTGATGATAATAATAATAATAATGATTGATGATAATAATAATAATAATGATTGATGATAATAATAATGATTGATGATAATAATAATAATAATGATTGATGATAATAATAATAATAATGATTGATGATAATAATAATAATAATAATAACAATAATAATAATAATAACAATAACAGTAATAGCAGCAGCAGCAACAACAATTAAAATAACAATAATAACAATAACAACAACTACCTTGCGAGCCATTGGGGTTCATTGGGTATTCCTCCGTCACGCAGTCGCCGTCGTCAAGGTAACGGAGGGCGACGCAGCCGGCCCTCTCGAGTCGCGGGAGGACGTCCTCGGAGCGGTAAGTGAACTGGCCTGGGAAAGAGAAAGGAGGAAAATTTGACGAGTTTATGCACTGATGTGAGGAAAGATATGGAGTGTAGTTTGTGTGAGAGTTGTTGTGTAGTTTGAAGGGAAAGTGTAGTTTGTAGAGTAATGGTGTTTTTTGTTATTGTTGAGAAAATAAATTTGTGATAACGCTTGTATGTTGGTAAGAGATGGTGCGTTAGGTTGAAAGCCAGACAGTTATAAGAAAATATATGCTATATTTTTGTACGATGTTAGGAGACATGGTATAACTAACGGATTTCATTAAAATTCCGTTTCCAATCAATTACTTGATATTCTATAGCTTTTATAAAATAATGCTGACAGAAAAAATACTGGCAGCTTTATTAATAGATATTCTATAATATCCTCACTTTTCTCTCTTCATATTAATATATATTTCCCTTTCCGGGATATATACCACTAGTAAGAGCAGCGATAACTTAATATAGTTTTATTAATGGAGCCATTCACGATATATGAGAATAAACATACAATTTTTTTTTCTTTCTTCGTTACTTACTGCTGCTTAAGTGAACTAATATGATATCAATTTTCCAGGTCAGATCACACGGCCATTTAAATTAAGTTCAAAATATAGAATTATATCTTACCTTGTCCGGATACAACCCGTACACAACGTATATCCAATAAATCATAATACCTATACTTTCTAGCGGCTTATTAACATTAGTCAATTTAATATCTCAATTCAATACAGACAACATATTCCACGTTTTATCTCCTCTTAACATAAAAAAGTATAAACATACCTATTTCATTCCCCGACCTTCCTCTCGACATAAAAACCTCAATAAAAAAATCTCACCTTCGCCATGAGCCACCCACACGCCCATCTTCGCTCCGCCCATTCCCTTGAGCAAGACGGACTTCGACTCCTCCACCAGCACCCGAGACCAGCGGGACTCGAAGCGGCCGGACGTGTTGTGGGCGAGGCGGACGGAGGGGGCGGCACTCGCCTTCTCTGCGGCCACCTCTTCTGCGGGAGGACGGCCGAAGGAGAGGTCAGATTTCGGTTAAAATGGTCCGTAAGGTCTTTAATAACTACGAGGTTATTTGTAATCAGGTTCCATTATTGCGAAAGTATTGTTTATATTGAGGTTTTATATACTTTTTTTGCACCATGATGTAAAAAAGTAAACCTTGATCACGTATGCTATTCAACGTCTAAAATTCTCTGCACATTTTAACGTAACGGTGGATAACATTGGGTTAGATTTTAGTTTCAGCGAATCAAAAAAAGGTTAGGATAGGTCAAAAGAACCATAAGAACTACAGAATTAAAAAGGAGTTTAATATAATGTATTTTAATACCTTTAAAAATATATATGACCTTGAATAACAAGAGATATTTATGAGAAAGGACAGCCAGATTAAAAAGAAAAAAAATCACATGCAAAAGGAGGAGGAGAGGTATATCAGTCGAGGAACTAGTCTTACGTCATCGTTTACAGCTGAAGGGGAATCTATCTTAATTTTAAATGAAGGCGAAGATTGATTTGCCTAAGTGATGACTTGACACGCTGACGAACAGGTGAGGGTGACTATTGGAATTGTCTCGGTTAAAAATGGGTATAGTGAAGATTCTTAAAGAGATAAGTAGATCCGGGTTATTCCTTATTATGCAGAACAAGGAAAGACAAAAATAAGAACAGCAAATGATTACAGATTCAGAACACTTTAAGGAATCAAGAACATTATTTTAAGGATAACTTGTTAAAGAAATGATCTAGGACAAGAAAAGGACAAGGATATTAAAAAGAAATGAGAACTATTTCTACTGGGAAAGCGATAATATAAAGAGTATTAAGAAAAAAAAATCCTAAATGCAGGGGAAAGAACCGGAGAGTGAATATAAGCAGACGTGGATAATTAGGATTATAATGCTGATTACATTCTTAATAAAAACAAAATCAAGAATAATATCTGAACGTTATCTAATCAAACCCGAAAACAATGCTCAAAAATACATTAAAAAATCTTAGAAAACAAAATCAGAGAACACTCATAACAGTAAATAAAACAAGCCCACATCCATTAAAAAAAGGAAAAAAAAAAAAATACCCTTCTCCTCGGATGGGTCCAGCCAGCCGAGGAGTGCCATCAGCTGGCACCCATTGCACACTCCGAGCGAGAAACTGGTGCCTCTGTTCCTCCACGCCTCGAGGGCTGCTCTCAGGCCCTCGCCCCCTCGAATAGCAGCGGCCCAGCCCACGGCGGATCCTAGGACGTCTGTGAGGGAGAGGGTGAAAGCTTAGGGGGGGCCTCGTAGTCAAGGTTGGACATGCACGGAAAGAAAAAAAAAATGGCGAGACGAAATATCCAGAAGAAACAAAAATGAAAAATAAGAAGACAACCCATTCTCTCCTTAAAAGTTGACAAATAAAATAATAAAAACAACGACATTAACAATTATTATGACAACAACAACAATAAAAATATTAATAACAGTAATGGCAATAATTGACAATAATAATAATTATGGTGATAATAATAATAATAATAATAACTACATCAACAACAACAAAACAACAATAATAATAATAATAACAAAAAACAATTATAATAATAATTAACAATATCAACATCAACATCAACAACACTCACCGGCATAGCTGAAGCCGCCGGGGAAGACGACGCCCCTGAAGGCCTCCAGCTGCGCCGCCCCAGCGACCAGGTCGGTCATCGTGACGTCATCGACCCGGAAGCCCGCCTGCAGAAGCGCCGATATCATCTCCCTGTCGCCGTTGCTGCCTTCCTCCCTCACGACTGCGACGCGGGGCACGTATGGGGCGAGGGCGTTGGGACCTGGGGGTTAGGAGGGTAAGGGGGTAGGGAGGTGGGAAGTGGGAAGTGGGAAGTGGGAAGTGGGAAGTGGGAAGTGGGAAGTGGGAGGTGGGAAGTGGGAAGTGGGAAGTGGGAAGTGGGAAGTGGGAAGTGGGAAGTGGGAGGTGGGAAGTGGGAAGTGGGAAGTGGGAAGTGGGAAGTGGGAAGTGGGAGAGGGGAGAGGGGAGAGGGGAGAGGGAAGAGGGGAAGAGGGGAGAGGGGGAGAGGGGGAGAGGAGAGGTTACGTTTTTTTCGCTTTTGAAAGGCTTGCGGTTCGGGCGATGGTAGTTGTTTATGCAGTGTTTGATTTTATTTCTTTAATTTGTATCTTGATAAAAAAAAATCTATAATAATTGCAACGATGCATAGACAAAAACAAACAAAATAATAGTACCAACAGACAAGCGAGCAGATCATTAATCTGATATAATCCACAACCACTGACCCCCCTTCCCTCTCTCCCTCCCGCTCCCTCCCACACACACACCCACTCACTTACCCATCACGAAATCCCTGTAGGTAAAAGGAACGTGGTAGGCGTGGTGTCTCCTGGTGGCCATGCCTTCGAACTCAGCCCTGGCGCAGTCGGGGTTGGCCTGGCGAGTCTCGAGGCGGTAACTGGTCTCCTCCCAAAGGCGTGATGCTTCTAACACGGTTAGATTTACCGTTTCTTGGCCGCCCACTTTGACCGTGATCTGGGTTGGATAGGAAGGAATTAGGGTTGGGTTGAATTGGTGGTTGGGCTGAAAAGGATTGGGTTAAATTGGTGGTTGGGTTAAGTGGCGGTTGGGTAATGGTAGTTGGTGGTTGACTGGAAGTTATGCAATGCTCAGTGACAGTGGTGCTGATGATGGCGTTGGTATGTTGATGTTGATACGTTGGGGTGGGGTGGGGGGACCAAAAACTAAAGGGGAAAGTATAAGGGCAAAGATCAGTGGAGGAGGAAACAGACGCCCTGGCTTAAGACGAAGGGAGAAAATAATCGGAACAAAATCTGACACTAACTAGAGGCCTGCTTTCCACGGCGCTCATGTTGACCTTCCTAAAACTAATAGATAAACAAGTAAATAAAATAAATAAAGATAGATAAACAATGAAATAGATACATAAGGAAACGAGAGAAATAGATGAATAAAGAAACGGATAAATAAATAGAAAATGAAACAAAACGTAAACAAACAATTCATACATCAACAAGGAAATAAGAAAAACAAAAAAATATACCAACAACAACGACATTCTACCCCCCCCCTACCTTCGCTCCTGGCCCAGCGTCCGAGGTCTCCCCCAACGAGCACGTTCCAGGGACTCCAGCGGCTTGGAATCTCTGCACCACACTACCGGCTTCTGAGGACTCGACCTCCAAAACCCATCTGCAGGGTTTTTTTGTTTTTTTTACTTGTATTCTAGTACGATGTTTTATGGTCTGTTTTTTGTCTATGTTGTTCAGGTTTCTTGTTTGGTGGGAATGTGTAGTGTAAAAATAAAGGTTCAGATACTGTGGGTATGTTTTATTTTTTATTTTTTATAGCAGGGGTCTCTACGCTAATGCTAGTCTATTAAAACAAGCAATGCGAAAATGAAGCCTGCAAATTTCATAAAGTTTTCATACCCGACTTCCTCGCTGAATAACGCAGCCAGGGTGGGCGGCACTTTATCCTGCGACGTGGGCGGGGGTGCGGGCGCGGGCGGCAGGTCAACAGCGAGGCCTCCCCAGCCGGCTATGGCCATCTCCAGCAGGCAAGTCACCAGGCCGCCGTCGCTTATGTCGTGGATGGCCAGGATTTTGCTTTCTGTGGAGAGGTGTTCGTCGGTGAAGGAAATGTTTGGTATATCATGCAAAAATCATGTTCACTGTGTTATTTGACAATTTTGTTCATTAGTTCATTAGATTGGTATTGTAGTCTAAGGAGTGGTGTGGTCGTTATTAATGAAGTTGTGTTCATCGCAGATGTTATGTTCATCAGTTAATTACATAACGGTTTGTAATCTAGGAAATGTACTTGCAGTTGAATGAACTATTAGGCTAGATTCATCTGTCTATTGTATAGGTCTAGCAGTATAGCGAAACATCAAATATAGAAAATGATATAATAATTCATTCTGATAGCTTAGTAGTTTTCATCTTTTACACTTTTGTTGCTTGAACGAGACCTAAAAAGATATAGACTCCCACCTTGATTCAACTGCTGGATAACCTTGAAGGCTTCGACAAAGGCCGAGATCTCGTGGCCGTCTACATCTGGGCAGTCGCGCCCCAGCTGCCCGTAGACCTGCGCGAGAGCGGAGCCGGCCAGACGGGCGTGGGCGGGAGCGGGCCGCACCCACACCAGTGCTCCTTTGCCTTCACCGCCTGGGCTCTTCAAGTCCGGCGTCAGCACCTTCAGGAGAGGAAGAACTTGCGTGCAATGCCAAGACAAGAACCTAAATTGTAGGTTATTTATTTGCTTTGATCTTTCCTTTTCTTTTTATATGATTGTTACAGATTTCAACAGATGTATCATGATTTTTTTTTTACATTGTACTACGATGTCACGTTTTAATACATCAATTCAGTACTTCTAAAAGTAAATTCATGCATTATGTATTTCCGTCCCTGGCACAACTTTCATACAAAATCCCCCCAACAGGTTCCGCACACTGAAGCGGGTCTACCTTCGTGACATCAGCGCAGGGGGCGTAGGCCGACACCACGAGGTCCCCGGGCGCCTTGACGACTCTCTGGCCGCCGACCCGCGCTGCCATGCTCAGCGAGTCCTTGCCGCCGTCCACGCCCACGCCCACAGCCTTCATCACTTCGCACATGGCCTCGCACGCCTCGTACAACGCCCACCCCTCGCCCGGGAGCTTGGCCGCCCACATCCAGTTAGCGGAACACTTTATGTCCTGTAAAATACCAACAGTAATGTGAGAAAATAAAACCGACCACAATGAGAGAGCGTTCGAGCCAAACTAGAATTCTTACTTTAGGAAAATGGAATAAAAAATGAATGGACAGAACGAACTATAACATAACACGATACCACTGATTGGCAATACCTCTAATAAAATCACAAAACTCTATACAAAAAGACACGTCAATTTTACATATCAAAACGCTCGAACAAAATTATAATCTTATACATCGAAATATAGTTCAGCCGATGAGAACCTTCATATGCGAGACGGGAGCCGCAGCGAGGTTGGCCAGCGCCTCGAGCACCGTGAGCCTTGCACCAGCCCGGGGTTGCACGAGCACCTTGAGGGGTTGCTCGCCGATGCTGGTGGCCGCCCCTTCCTGAGAGAGATGCGGAGATGCTGAATCTTATATCAGGATTGTAAAAGTGATAATCTCCGTGATGGTAGTAATTATAAATGCAGTAGTAACAAGGAAAGTAATGAAAGCAAGGAGTTATTATGATAAGACTGACTGACAGGACTCCCCTTGAATTAAAACATTCTCGCTATCATTTTTTAAAAAATCATCGACACTATCATCACCCACAAAAATGTCTAATAATTCCCCTCCAGAATATGACATCGAATCGAAAATGCAATCAAATCATAAAACACAAGAATGACAGTTAACCAGACCTTGCTGAAGTAAGAGCAGGCGATGACAGCAACGTCAGCCAGGGGGGTATGCAGAGGCCCCACGCACTGTTGCTGTGCCACGAGACCTGTCACCGACCTGTCCACCTGTCGATCATACGCAGTTACAGGTTTATTATGGAGGTTCCCCGTGTTGGGGTGGGGATGGAGGAGTGGGAAAAGTGTGAAATGTAGTTTATGGATATGCTGACTATTGGTGTATGTTAATTATTTATATTTATCTTTTAGAGGCAGGTGGAGGAATTAAAGGGGTTAAATTCATAGTCCACTTTCAGATGTTACTGCGTGAAATTCTATGCAGTGTTCCACCTCTCTCCAATTTGGAGGTTTGAAAAATCAAATAATCTCGCAAAGCCTCTATGGAAGCCAACATCAAGAGTTTTGAAAATCACAGGCTTCCACATTCACCTCTCGCGCTCATGCCAAGCTTTCCGAAACGCTAACAGGCCACGAAATCTACCTTATTTGTGAGATAGCGCTTGCTGGCTACGGCGGGCAGCCTCAACACACGCTCCAAGGTCTCGCGGACGTCTACTGTCTCTCCCAAGTTTAGTGGTGGGGGCGGCGTCCTCTCCTTCGTCCAGTGGAAGACCTGAAGATTAATTCATTATTGAAAAGAGTACAAAGAAAGGGATGACGTATTTAAAGGTCGTGTGGGGAGGAGGAGGAGGAGGAGGAAGACGATTGGGTTGAGGAGCGGGCGCGGAATGAATGAAAGAAAAAAGGTAAGCAAAATGGTAGCAGTGGAAAGAAATGCGGTGTGCGAAAGCTCAGAGACTGCACAAAAGAGCGCCGTAGGATAAAAATGAAAAGGAGGAAGGGGGAAAGGGGAAAAGAGAGAGAGAGAGAGAGAGAGAGAGAGAGAGAGAGAGAGAGAGAGAGAGAGAGAGAGAGAGAGAGAGAGAGAGAGAGAGAGAGAGAGAGAGAGAAGAGAGAGAGAGAAGAGAGAGAGAGAAGAGAGAGAGAGAAGAGAGAGAGAGAAGAGAGAGAGAGAAGAGAGAGAGAGAGAAGAGAGATAGAGAGAAGAGAGAGAGAGAAGAGAGAGAGAGAGAAGAGAGAGAGAGAAAAGAGAGAGAGAGAGAGAGAGAGAGAGAGAGAGAGAGAGAGAGAGAGAGAGAGAGAGAGAGAAAAGAGAGAGAGAGAGAGAGAGAGAGAGAGAGAGAGAGAGAGAAAAGAGAGAGAGAGAGAGAGAGAGAGAGAGAGAGGGAGAGAGAGAGAGAGAGAGAGAGAGAAAAGAGAGAGAGAGAGAGAGAGAGAGAGAGAGAGAGAGAAATATACCAGTAAAATGTTTAAGATCCCCCCAAAATCCGAAAGCCCTACCTTCTTGGGCATCTTCCCGAGAACCCAGTCGAGATGAAGGTCGACGGGATGGCGGACGTCCGAGGACTTCGAGGGAGCGTCGGTCGTGTCTTCAAAGGGCCCCTCTACCAGCCGCACCTGCCGGGGTAGAAAGAACATTTTAGAAAATGGACAGATTACTCCGGAGTGAAGATAAAAGAAAATCCAAGAGTTATGGTGGATTTTCTTCTATTTTTATACACACATCTCTTCCTCATTAAAAAAAACAATAATCCAACACGCCCCTCCCCCCCTAAACACGCCCAACCACCTTATCATCGCCGGTGATCACGCCCACCACATCCACCGGACAGCGCTCACGGGCGGCAAGGCGGGCGAGGGCGGCTATCTTATCCGGGCGGGCGAGGATTGCATTCGACTCCTGGTACTCGGCGCCCCACACTTCCAGCGTCGAGAGGGTCGGGTCTCCAAGGCTGAAGGCTTGCGTGAAGATCGTCCCTCCAGCTCCCTCCATTAGCTCCTTCAGGACGTTGGCTGTGGAGAGGTCAAGGGTGAGGTTAGGTCAAGTCCGAGACAGGTAGAAAATAAGGTCGAAGTAATGGAGGAAAGAGTAAAAAATAAGGTCATAAAGCAAAGGGGGAAAGGTTCAAGCACAAGGTCATAAAGCAAAGGGGGAAAGGGTCAAACACGAGGTCATAAGGCAAAGGGGGAAA